GAGGTATTGATATTAGAGATATGTTGTTAAAATTGTTTAAGAAGTATTATTTTTAGAATATGTTTAAATTAGATCAAAGACATTTTAATTATTTCCTTAATGATTGGTTTAATTAATTAAAAATTTAATATTTTCAATTAAAAAATTTTAATTTTAATTTTAAATTGAGTGAAAAAAATTTTTTTTTTTAACAGAAAATATTGATATTTATTGATAAACAAAGTACAAGGGGTACCCCAAACCCTTAAACATCAACAGTTGAGAGACATAAATGTACAAGAGTGGGCAAACCTTGCCCAATGGTGTCGATACCCACATAAAGTGTCGACACTATACCCGCGTCGAATTTATGTCCTCCTTTACAGATTTTACATAACTCCCTGTTCTGATCATCAAAAAACTTCCACTTTTCAAATCTATTGTCACACAAAATCGTTGAGCATGTATTTACTACAGCTTAACTAAATGCCACAGTAAAATACCTGCTCAAGCCTTCATGCCCCAAACAAATTTCAACTTGCACTCCGTTTTGCAGTGTGGCCTTCTTTTTGTTGTTTAAGAAACATTTTCGTTGCTTGTTTGTGGCTTCTCATTGACAGAGCACACGCTACAGGGTTAACCTTCCACTCAATAAATGAAAAGGCACAACCCTTTACCTTATTCTTGATCCATAAAAATGTTTTGGCTTGAATCATATCTAGTAATCTTCCCCTGATGATAGCTTCATTATCAAATACCTTACCATTTCTCCAATACCATAAATATCATGATACAACGAGAAAGATACAAGCACCCATCTCCTTCCCTACTACCCTACCCAAATCGTATACAAAAATGTCTGCCACTCCTCGTACGATATTTGGCATTACCGTCTTCATGTTCCACCACTGCAACACCTCTGTCCACAAAATCCATGCTTCCTTACACATACTAAATAAATGGTTAGCCTCCTCAATTATGTTATGGCAAACACACATTAATTCCTCTTCCTGCAAATGCACCCCTCGCTTTCTAATGTTCCACTTAGTTGGCTTATCAAGACATAAACGCCATCCAAAGAAAGACACTTTGGATGGTACTAATCTGCACCAAATAACCTTACACAACTGTTCCTCTAAGATACCCTCCGAAGGGGCCAAAAATTCATAAGCCTTCTTCACCATATAACTACCATCTGAATCATGTAGCCACCTCCAACGATCTTCAACACCCTTCTTTAATTGCAAATTACCCAACTTCTCCCACAGCGCCTCCTCCTCATCCTTCTCTCGTCCTATTCTCCCCCTCCTCCATTCTAGTTTCCAACTCCATTTATCCCCTTCCCATACCCCCATTTCACAAATATTACCCTCCTTATTCATAGACAGTGCGTATAGCCTTGGGTATAGATCCCTAAAATTTTGCCCCCCTATCCACCACTATCTCCAAAAACCCACCCGATTTCCTTCACCCACTTCCCATCTAAACCCCTCTACCAACATATTCTGTAGTCTCATCGACCGCCCCCCTATACTAATAATATCTCTCCAAAGCTTAGATACTCTCCAATTCCCAATAGCCTTAATATCCACCTCCTTCCATTTGCCCTCGTAATATTTTTCTGTTAGTACCCTTTTCCATAGGCTCTCTACCCCATCCCCAAATCTATGCCACCATTTCCCCAGTAGTGCCCAATTTTTCCTACGCAAATCTTGCACCCCCAATCCCCCTTTTGCCTTACTACGACATACGTGTTCCCATTTCACCCATGAAATCTTCTTTTTTAACTCCCCCCTTCCCCATAAAAAAGATCTTTGAATGTGAGTTAACTCAATTACCACAGAATTTGGCATTAAAAATAATGACATATAAAAAATGGGTAGAGCAGAAAGTATCGAGTTAAGCAAAGTGAGGCGGCCACCGAAGGACAGCGAAGCAGTTTTCCAGACAGCAAGTTTAGCACGAAATTTTTTTATCACTGGTTCCCATAGTTTCCTATTCCCTGGTTTTCCATCAACAGGCATTCCCAGATAAATAAAAGGTGATTTTCCGGCTCCACATCGCAACATACTTGCTGATCCTTCAAGCCATCTCGTTGGAACATTATATCCGTAAATGTTGCTCTTGCTGAAATTAATTTGTAGACCAGACATCAGTTCAAACCATCGCAGAATTGTTTTAACCATGATTATATTCTCTATGTCAGCCTTTCCCATAATGACTGTGTCGTTCGCAAATTGAAGTAGAGAAACTACTAACCCCTTCCTGCCAATCTCTATACCTCGAAACATACCCTCCGACACTGCTTTCTGAACCAATCCATTTAATCCCTCTCCAATCATCAAGAATAAGAATGGGGATAAAGGGTTCCCTTGTCGTAATCCCTTTCCAACCTTAAACTCCTCCGTTGGGCTTCCATTAACTAGAACTGAAATCTTAGAAGTCGACAAGCATTCCATAATCCAACCTCTCCATTTGATTCCAAAACCCAAGCGATTCATCATCCATTCCAAAAATGACCAATCCACACAATCATATGCCTTCGCGAAATCAGCCTTGAAAACAAAAGCTGACTGCTTCCTTCTCTTAACTTCCTCCATAACCTCATTCAACACTAGTACTCCATCAACTAATTGACGTCCTCTCAAGAAAGCAGATTGATTTTCACTGATAATCCCTAGCATCACGGCTTTAATTCTATTGGCCAACACTTTTGTTAACAGTTTGTAAACACACCCGATCAAGCTAATGGGTCTATAATCCTTTAATTCCATAGAATTAAACTTCTTAGGAATTAGAGCTAAGAAAGATGAATTCAGCCCACTAACTAATCTACCATTCTTGTGAACCTCTGCAAAGAAACTCATAAAATCTTCCTTTAAACTATCCCAAGCAAATTTAAGAAAATTAAAATTGTACCCGTCCGATCCCGGAGCTTTAGATCCTTCACAGCTTCGTAACCCTTCCTCAATTTCTTCAATGGAGAATGGTCGTTCCAACCATTGTTTTTCCTCTGCAGAAATCTATTTGAAGCTAATCCCGCAAGGCTTTGGTCTATTCCATGTGTCTCCTTGAAATAACTTGCTGAAATAATTATACACCTCCTTCTTGACCTGTTCTGGTTTATCCACCCAACAACTATCATGCAATAAGCCTGTGATATGATTTTGGGCCTTTCTACCATTTGCTACTCTATGAAAGGATCGCGTGTTTGCATCTCCCACATGCACCCAGTTGCTTCTTGATTTCTGTTTCCATATCACTTCTCTCCTCCTCATGATATCCCACATTTTCTGAAAACCTTCCTGTCTTTGAATAATCTCGAATTCGTCCAGATCAATCTCCTCATTCTTCATATCAATTTGCTATACCTGTTTTGCAGCTTGTTCATACTGAGCTTCCATATTTCCAAACACCTCCTTATTCCAACCCTTTAAAAATGCTTTTAGGCCTTTTAACTTCTGTTTACATTTATATCCTGCGAATCCATCAACTTCCATTTCGCTCCACTTTTCTTCAATTACCTTCTTGAAATCTAGATGAAGCTGCCATGCATCCAAAATTCTAAATGGCTTTGGTCCCCAATCAGTTGTTCTTGAATTCAATACAATTGCACAATGATCAGAGATATTACGTTTCAAGCCCTGTTGCATCCAATTTCCACCCATACTGCACATCTCTACATTCATCAAAACTCTATCAAGTCTGCTCATAGCTGTACCATCTGGCCTATACCATGTAAAGTGCCTATTGACCATTTTAATATCAACTAAACCTGCTGCCAGGATAAATTCATCAAATTTCTTCATATTTGTGCTCTCTCCAATTCTTCCCCTTTTTTCTTCAAGACATCTAATGGCATTAAAGTCTCCCGCTATCAACCATCTCCCTCCCTCTTCTATGATCATGTGCTCTAACTGATCCCACAGCTTTAACCTTTTCTGTCTATCATTTGGGCCATACACATTCACTAGATTACATTTCACCTTATCTAGTCCCCACTCCTCTGTTATTCTCAGATAACCATCACCCGTAAAAATTTTTGTCTTAGCAAATTTCTTCTTGTTCCAGATACATAACAAGCCACCCGAAGCTCCTACCGATTCCTTCATCACCCAGTCAATCTCATTTGAATTCCACATCATTTAAATTGAGTGAAAATTAATTTAAAAAAAGATTATCTTGTTTTTTACACAATTATTATCAAATGTACTAAAAAACCACTCTAGTTATCCAAACAAAAAGATTAACACATGTATATAAACCAATGAAGTTAATACCGTACCGGCCGGTACGTATCGGTTTTGGTATTTGACCGAAACGGTACAACGTCAGTTTTCGTTTCGGTCAAATTTCGGGCGTTTCGGT